CAAGCTGCTGTGTAAGCTGCTACTACAAGTTGCTACGCAAGCTGTTGTGTAAGCTGCTACGCAAGCTGCTGTGGATAATCTTCTACTGAGAGCAATATTTATCCATAACGGAGTACTGAATGGATAAACTTATTANGGGAGCAATTTTTTGCAAAAATCACAGTGTTGTTGGCTTAATGTAATAAGTGACAACAACTTTAAAAAATTGTTGCTATTTATCGTAGAACTTTTAGCAACGTCTGGTTCATTGTTACCAACCACTGCATTGAAGAGTTGTACCAAAAGCAATGCTAATTGTACTGTGTACTTGGCTTTATCCAATTCCTTCACATTTTAATTTGCTACGTGTAATAGCATTGCCCTTTCATTTTGGCCACCTACACTGACGGAGCTACCAAGAATTCTATCTTTGACACCGTTCTCAAATTGCTCTCTGTTTCTTTTTGTAATTGTAATGTCAATTGCTCTCTGCTTCAAAGACTAGTCCCCAACATTCTCCAATTCGATGACACCATTACTCTTTCAAAATTCTTTTTTGTCAAAGACGAATCCAGCTAATTCATCAGCCATGAATTTGAAATTTTTGAAGAGAACTAGAGGAAGATTTTGGCAAAAATTGAAAGAAAAGGAGCTTCGATATAAACATTGACCCCGCTCGCTGCAAAAAGGTACGTTTTTCATCAATTTTTCTGGAATAGCAGCTGAAATTTAGTTCTCTGATTTCCTCATAAGTTGCAGATGTAAATATGACTTAAAATAAATTAATGAGATTTTGCTTTGATATTGGCAACAGTAAATTTGTATTGTTGGCAATACACTTTATTTTTGCCTACAAAATAGGTGGGTTGTGGCCTAAAACTTAGCTAATTATTTTCCAGTTTTCCGCCAAAATCAAACGCGCCAAAATTTTCTCTTGTTAATCACTTTTTCCGGATTTTTAGCCCACTATTTTAGTTGCTTTGGGTAAGTTTTTTGTTGCTGCCATATTTTATTTGAAAACATAGTTGTTTTAAAATATAATAAATTAGCAATAATTTATATTTGGTAGAACCCTTAATTGTCTCAACAAGTTCTGTTCACGCCTTAATTTTCTCAACATGTTTGATTAGTGGCCTAAGATTTAGCTTAGTATTTTTCAACTTTCCGCCCAAAGAAAAGCGGCAAACCAGTTTCTTCCTTTTAATTATCTTTTCCTTAATCCTTAGCCTATTTCAGTTACCATTCTAGCAAGGTTTTCTCCTTTATTATTCTACATCTCTGAGCAATTGGTTCTGGTCTATTCTTTGCTTCGTTATTTCTCGTCTACAAAGTCTGGTGAGTCTTGCTGATTACTATTTATCTATAGTGTGTTCCTTCGCTTGTATCACTGTTCGTTCAATTTATATGCTGTTATTTTTACTGTATTTTAGTATACAGTCCTTCTCTGACCTTTTCCTTATTTATTTTTTTGCTAAATTGACAGCAAAAAATTGAGGGACAGTTAATATTTTATAATTTGTAGGTTATTATATGATGGATAAAAGTTGGATACTTCTTAGGAATAGGGCATTACCAGAATACTTGAATGGCGTGGAACAATTTTTAAACTTTGCATTTTCAAATCCTAATATTGGTTTAAGAATTCAATGTTCGTGCACTAACTGTAACCATGTGCGTAGGAAAACACGAGAAGAAGTGAAAATAGATTTACTTAGGTGGGGTATAGATCCAACATATAATAGGTGGATTCATCATGGTGAGTCAGATTTATCTTCAGATGATGAAATAAATTCTAGTGCAAATTCAGATTTAGGAAATGATGATGATGCCACTTTCGAGATGTTGCATGACATGTATCACGGTGTTCCTATAGATAATATAACTCATGATCCGTCTGATGAGTCGGCTGAGTCTAGATATGAAGAACCTAATGCAGAAGCTAAGAGTTTTTATCGGTTGTTAAAGGATGCAGAGCAGAAGTTACATCCAGATTGTGAAAAGTTCTCGAAGCTCTCTTTTGTAATGCGTCTTTTTCAAATGAAGTGCTTGCATGGTTGGAGTAATACTTCATTAGACTCTTTGTTAAAACTATTAAGTGATGCCTTTCCCAAAGGACATGTGCTCCCTAATTCTATTTATGAAGTTCAAAAGATTATTAAAGATTTGGGTCTGGATTATGTGAAAATAGATGCTTGTGTTAATAATTGCATCTTATATAGAAAGGAATATGCGGATCTTGAGCAATGTCCTAAATGTGGTGAGAAAAGATGGATAGTACGGAAAGGAGGAGAAGATGACAATGAGGTTGCTTCAAGTAAATTGAATAAGAGAAAGAAAGGAATTCCTAGGAAAATTCTTAGATACTTTCCTTTGATCCCAAGATTACAACGATTGTTTATGACTAAACGAACCGCAGAAGATATGAGATGGCATAAAGATAAGCGAGTTGATGATGGAGTATTAAGGCATCCAGCTGACTCACTGACATGGAAAACTTTTGATGAGAACCATTTGGATTTTGCATCAGATCCACGTAATGTAAGACTTGGACTTGCTTCAGATGGTTTTAATCCTTTTGGTTCCATGAGTAATGCCTACAGTATGTGGCCAGTATTCTTGATTCCGTATAATCTTCTCCCATGGCTATGCATGAAACAGTCTAATATTTTATTATCCTTGCTTATTCCTGGCCCAAAAAGCCCTGGTATGGATATAGATGTGTATCTCCAACCTTTGGTTGATGATTTGAAAAAATTATGGGCGGATGGAATTGAGACTTATGATGCTTTTAAGCAACAAAATTTTCAATTACGTGCTTCATTGTAAGTTCATTTATTCCGAGTGGTATTTCTAATTTCATATGCTTGTGTTTCTGTATATTGCTCTTCCTCCACCCTTCATCCCTTTGCACTTACCATTTTGTTGCTTTGGCAATAAATCTCATGTATCCTTTTGTTATTCTCTGCCTGTTACTATGATAGTTCTGATATTTGGTCGCACTCTTTGTCCTTAATGTGGTCTGTTCCAGGTGCAAGTAAACCACATACAAATTGAGAACAAAGTATAAGGGTTATGTGATCATCCTGGCTGGAACTGCATTTTCTAATATATTCCCGTTGATTCTACTTCAGCAAAGTTTCATTGCACATTAGATTGTAGACTGAGGTTATTTTGTTCTTAGTGATAAGCCAAAGTTATCCATCTGAAATCTTGCTCTTTGTTTGCTCTTTGTACAAAAATTGAACTATCATATATGCTGCTCAATATAACCGTTTAGTAATCATTTGATTGCCTAGTTGGAACTTATTTCTTGAACTTAGTTGTGGTTCATCAGTTAAGTTGTTATTAATTAGACATTGTTGTCGTACACCTCTAATTTTGGCTTCTAATTCTTGAAGTATTTTTATTTTTCCTAAGTCGGGGGTCTTCCGGAAATAACCTCTCTGTTTTCTTGAAGGTAGAGGTAAGGTCTGCGTACATCGTACCCTCCCCAGACTCCACTTATCATGAAATTATACTGGGTTTGTTATTGTTGTTAAATACAATGTAAGTTTTATTTAATAACAAATTGCTTTATTTTGTTCTTTTATCTGCTTCTTTTTTTAAAATTCAATTATAGTTTAGTACTAATACAAAATAGTCAACTTAATTAATTTTTTTCTTTTTTGCAAATTCCTTCCTTAAAATTGAAAGCCTCAAATTGCTTTAACAAATCTTCTGCCACAATCTTCTTTAACAATCACTTTGAATGGGCAAGAGAAACTAAGAGTTTGAGACTCTTTTTCAATTCTTTTAGTATAAACATACTCTTAATCTTAATTTCTCTAGTAAGTCTTTGATAATTTTAAGTTTGAACGCCCTTTCCGAAGAACACTCTCTCTCCCCCGTTTAGTGCTTTCTTTTTCTTTAGAACTTCTTTTTGTTAATACTTGGATGATAAGTCATCATAATCATTAATTTTCAAAGAGTTGCACGCCAAATTTTATCGCTGGTGATTAGCATATACAGTGGTGCCCCCGTCATGCTCAAATCCTGGGTCCGCCTATGTATAGGAGAAGAGGTTGGATGCTAAAAAAAGGCCATTTTGTTCATCCTTAGCAGTGAAGTTGGGAGAAGGCATCCACCTTAGCATCCACACCTGGGCGCAGCAAGGATGAGGGAACAAAGGGTGGACGCGAAGCATACACCCCAGTATCTTATGCTGAAAAGTTCAAGCTGAGGCAGACTTGAAGCTTCCAACTCAACATCAATCCCTGAAGTTGAGTTGGAAAAGGAAAAGGAAAACTTTGGCCCACGACTTTTGTATGCAATATATAAGTCAAAAACGCCTCTTTTAGATCATCCAACACATTGGGAAGCAAAGTCATCATAGAGTATGGAAACCACAGAATTCGTCTTGAGTTCTTACTTTTCCCTTCTTTTATAGATTTTTATGTATTCTTGGGAGTTAATTGAGATTACTACCATGATTATGAGTGGCTAAACTCGTTTATTCTGGGGTTATGATTTTACATGAATGTTGATATTCGAATATTGATTTGACGAGTTAATTTATCATATTGGGTTGTTTATTCATATCCTGAGTTCAATTATTTTACTGCTTAGCTAACAGTGAAATACTATATATGAATCTTGAGTTGAACTTGAAAGAGGTAATTCTTGATTGCAATAAGATTGAATAGAGCGCGATCTTGAACCTAGTCATTGGGGAATTGATTTGCGAATACGGATAGAAATATACCTATTTTCCATGCTTAGCCAATTGTGCAAGAAATCATGAATGCGTTCTTTTATCTCTAATCTCATAGAAATATACGGTTTAGAATAAATTGAATAGGCGAGTAGAAGATGTCAAATTTCTACAAGTATTATTGTCCTTGTAGGTTAATAACCTAGCTAAATTAATAAGTCGATTTGATTGAAGAATTGAACATGATTGTTACTTAACCATGACCCTGGAATCTTATTTTTCATTGAATTAAAATCTTCGTGCCAAGTGTGGTAATTAATTAGTTTTCCTTTTAATCGCAATTGTAGTTAGTACAATTAATCAAACAAAAATCCTTTGAAATTGTTCTTGACTTAATAAATTAGAATTCGCTTGATTTAGTTGATAATTGATTACAAATACTCGTGGGAACGATACTCTACTCACTCTTTATTACTTGATTGACTGCGTATACTTGCGTGTGTGATTTTAGGGCAACAAGTTTCTAGTGTCGTTTTGGGGGACTTAGAAATTAATTGTTTACTAGATTATGCTTTTATTACTCATCGAGTTAAGTTTTTAATATTCTTTTTGGCTTGGTTTGTTATCTCAGGTACTTTGCTTGAATGTGACGGGTTAGAAGCCAGGATAGACTACAGAATTTTGACCCAGAACCTGATAGAGCATTTCGCAGAAGGTTGAGAGAAGCTCAGGAAGTAAATAATCTACACGCACTCATTCCACTTCCTGTTAAAATGGCGGGTGAACATCCATTGGCGGTATAAGAGGCAGTTATGCCCATCATTGCTAATGTCACCTTAAGTATCGTTAAGCCTAGGATCACTAGGCCTTTCGATCTTAAACAGATCATGATCCAGCTACTTCATGCAAGTGGACAGTTCATGGGACTACCACACGAGGAACCCTAACAACATATTCTGAATTTTCTGGAGATTAGTGATACCTAAATCACTAATGGGGTGACATATGATTATGTCATGCTCACATTGTTCCCTTTTTTCTTTGTTGGAAGAGGCCAATAAGTCTGAGCCAGCTGACTCTATTGCATCGTGGATCTGGTTCGCAAATTCTTGGCTAGGTTCTTTTCTTATGGTAAAACTGCAAAGATAAGAAGGAAGATATTTTCTTTCAAACAGAGAGAAGGTGAATCACTTTATATAGTCTGGGAGCGATTCAAGGGGCTACTAAGTGATTGTCCACACCATAACTAAACCAATGAGGTACTAGCTCATACTTTTATTGAAGGTCTACACCCTGAAATAAAAATAGTGGTAGATGCAGTAGCTGGTGGTCAAGTATTGGAAAAGAGCTTTGATGAGACCTACAGATGTTGAACAAGTTTTTCAAAAGCAACCCAGATTGGAAAGGGGAAGCAGGCAGACACACAAGCCATAAAGTTATTGGGGTACTTGAATTGGATGTTGTATCAACACTATTTGCGCATGTAGCATCTTTATCAAATCAAATTAGCAAGATGAATGTGGTTCAGAACCAACAACAGTTCCCACCAATGCAACAGGTTCAACCAGTACAACAAGTGTAGATGTTCTGCAAAGTATGCAGCGAGGGCCATACTAGCGAGGCATGTCCAGCAAATCTAGAGTCAGTTTACTTTGTGGGTAATGCTAATAGAGGCCAAGCTAATCAAACTCAATATGGTAATATTTATAATCCAAATAGGAGAAACCACCCAAATTTCTCCTGGGGTGGAAATCAGGATGCTCAGAATCAGTTCAAACCACAAGGTCAATATCAACGGTTTCTTCCACCACAAGCAAATCAGTCCGCGAATCCGATGGGTAATATTGAGGAGATTCTCAATAAGATTTTGGTTGATAATCAAAATCAAGCTACTGTTATTTGAAATTTAGAGCGACAGATGGGGCAACTTGCTAGTACCCAAAACACCAAACTAGCTAGAGCATTACCAAGCGACACTGAGGCTAATCCTAAGGCTCCTATTAATGTTATATTATTTAAGAATAGGACAGAATTAGAAGAAGTTCCCTCGACGAAGAGAAATTAAGTGACGTTTAGTGAAAAATAGCCCACCACAAAAGTCAAATCAGAAAATGCAAAGGAACTAGAGAAGCCAATTGAAGAGGTCATGGCAAAGCAACCACAACCAATTTTTGCGAAGACACCACCTCCATTTCCTCAGAGATTGCAAAAAGTGAAGGATAATGTTGCATACAAGAAGTTCCTTGATATTTTGAAACAGGTGCAGATTAACATCCTGTTGGTGGACATTTTGCAAGAAGTGCCAAAGTATGCAAAGTACATCAAAGAAATTATGGCAAACAAGCACAAGATAAATGAGTTCAAACCTGTAGCACTCACTAAGGAGTGTAGTTCCAGAATTCAGAATAAGTTGCCTCCTAAATTGAAGGACCCAGGAAGCTTCACAATTCAAATTTCAATTAAGAAACATGTGGTTGGGCGAGTATTGTGTAATCTTGGGGCGAGCATAAATCTGATATCGTTGTTTGTGTTTCGACAGATAGGGTTGGGAGTTCCTTAACCAATTACGATGGTATTGCAATTGGCAGATAGATCATTAGCCAGCCCCGAGGGCGTCATTCAAGTTGTGCTGGTCCAAGCGGGCACATTTATATTCCCAGTTTATTTTGTCATCTTGGATTACGAGCCTGATCAGGAAGTCCCATTTATTTTGGGATGATAATTTCTAGCCACGGGACGCGCAATTATTAATGTATATGAAGTACAAATGACCATGAGAGTGGGTGAAAAGGTGGAGGTATTCATTGTATACCGAGCACTTAAATTGCCAGCACACTATGAAGATTTGGCAATGATCACAATTGTGGATGATGAATTGGCAGGCACAACACCATACTTGGTATCTAAAGATCCTCTAGGAAGAGCTTTAACTGATGAGAAGAAAAGGATGATGAGTTGGTGGAAGAAATTGTACAAGTTTTGAACATGACATGTCAGTATGTTAACGGGTTGAAGAGATTTGAGGAAATGGACATGCCATTGACATTAACACCACCTAAGCCATCTATTGAGGAGACTCCAAAATTGGAGCTCAAGCCTTACCTTCTCATTTATGATACGCTTACTTAGGTGTTTCAGAATCCTTACATGTGATCATCGCATCTTCATTATCACATTTGCAAGAGGACAAGTTGTTGCGGGTTCTGATTAAACAGAAAGGGGCTATTGGTTGGACTATTGCCAATATCAATGGAATTAGTCCGTCATTTTGCATGCATAAAATATTCCTGGAGGATGGATACAGACTTACTGTGGAGTAGCAGAGACGATTGAATCTTATTATGAAGGAGGTAGTAAAAAAGGAGATTATCAAATAGTTGGATGCTAGGATCATATTGCCTATTTGTGACATCAATTGGGTGAGTTTTGTGCAGTGCGTGCCAAAAAAGGGGAGGCATGACAATTGTGGCAAATGAGCAAAATGAGTTGATACCTACCAGAACGGTGACGGGCTGGAGGGGATGCATTGATTATAGCAAACTCAACAAGGCTACGCGAAAGGACCATTCCCCTCTCCTTTTCATTGATCAGATGTTGGACATGCTAGCCGCGCATGAATATTATTGCTTTCTCTGATGGTTACTCTGGTTACAACCAGATAGTGATAGTACCAGAAGATCAGGAAAAGACTATATTTACTTGCCCCTATGGCACCTTCGCCTTTAAAAGGATGTCATTCGGGTTATGCAATGCACCGAAGGCTTTTCAAAGGTGTATGATGGACATCTTTACCAACACGGTGGAGAAATTCATGGAGATGTTCATGGATGATTTTTCAGTCTTCAGATCGTCCTATGATAATTGTCTGAAGAACTTGGAGTTGGTGCTAGTACGATGTGAGGAAACTAACCTGATGCTTAATTGGGAGAAGTGTCATTTTATGGTTCAAGAAGGTATTGTATTGGGACATCGAGTGTCCAAGCAAAGAATTGAAGTCAACAAGGCCAAGGTGGAGGCAGTGGAAAAACTACCACTACCCATCTCTATTAAGGGCATCCGCAACTTCTTGGGACATGCAGGTTTTTATAAACGTTTCATTAAAGATTTTTTAAAAATTGCTAATCCCTTATGCATGTTGCTAGAAAAGGATTCCTTGAATAAGGATTCCTCATTCAAGTTTGGTGATACCTGTGTAAAGGCATTTGGGATCTGATATTGAAGTTGGTTTATGTGCCAATCATTATCGCACCTGACTGGAGTCTGCCCTTTGAGTTGATGTGTAATGCGAGTAATGTAGCAATTGGGGTTGTGCTTGGATAGAGGAAGAACAAATTGTTTCATTCAATTTACTATGCTAGCAAGACCCTAACTGATGCACAACTCAATTACACCACGATGGAAAAGAATTGTTGGCAGTTGTCTATGCTTTTGACAAGTTTTGATCGTAGGAACGTATGTGATCGTGTACACGAATCATGTGGCGATCAGGTATTTAATCTAAAAAAAGATGCTAAGTAGAGACTGATTAGATGGGCACTTCTTTTGCAGGAATTTGACTTGGAAATCGTGATCATAAGGGCATAGAGAATCAGGTGGCTAACGACTTGTCAAGGCTAGAAAATCATGAGCATATGGAAAAAGGAAGGGTGATTAAGGAGACATTCCCAGATGAGAAACTCTTTGCAGTCACATATGATCCGCCACCATGGTATGCGAATTATGTAAATTTCATAGTAAGCAGATTACTTCCTCCAGAAATGCCACCTGAAGGGAGGAAGCGATTCCTACATGACATAAATTATTATTTCTGGGATGAGTCATTCTTGTATCGGCAATGTGCTGAATACCTGATGAGGATATGCATTCCAGAGAAGGAGATGGAACATGTTTTGTATGATTGTCACTCATCACCTTATGAGGGACATTATTGTGGTGATAGAGCAGCTGCAAAAGTTCTACAGGCATGATTCTATTGGCAACTATGTTTAAAGATGTCCATTCATTTGTGAAGAAGTGTGATCGATGTCAGAAAACTGGAACAATCACTAGAAAAATAAGATGCCGCTTACGAACATTATTAAGGTGGAGAGTTTTGATGTTTGAGGGATCGATTTGATGGGACCATTCCCATTGTCTAGAGGGAACAAATACATCTTGTTAGCAATGGACTAGCCGTCTAAGTGGGTGGAGGCCATTGTTTTACCTACTAATGATGCGAAGGTGGTGGCTAATTTTGTCAAGAAGAACATTTTTACACGTTTCGGAACTCCTTGAGCTCTGATAAGTGATGAAGGTACACATTTTTGCTATAGACTTTTGAACAACCTTCTAGCTAAATACGGGGTCAAGCACAAAGTTGCCACCGCATATCACCCTCAGACAAGTGGGCAAGCGGAGGTATTGAACAGAGAAATAAAGCAAATTGGAGAAAACGGTCAGTGCAAGTAGGAAAAATTGGGCTGCAAGGTTGGATGACGCTCTATAGGCGTATAGGACTACATATAAGATACCTATTGGTACCTCGCCTTACAAGTTGATCTATGGCAAAGCATGTCACCTTCCAGTTGAGCTAGAACATAAGGCATTTTGGGCCGTCAAAATGCTCAATATGGATATGGAGTTGGCGGGTGAGAAGATATTGCTCCAACTCAATGATCTAGATGAATTCAGGATGAATGTATATGAGAACTCCAAGCTATACAAAGAAAAGACCAAATGGTGGCATAACAAGCACATCAAGCATCTCCATTTCGTGTTGGACCAGTTGGTATTGTTATACGCATCCAGGTTGAAGTTTTTTCCTGGAAAATTAAAGTCAAGATGGTCTGGACCTTTTAAAATAGTATGTGTGACACCATACAAGGCTATAAAGTTAAGAGTGCCAAATTCTGAGAGGACGTTCTCGATCAATGGGCAAAGAATCAAGCATTATTGGGGTGGTGACGTGGATCGTCACAAGTCCTCAATTGCACTGAAGGATGCTTGAGGAGTGGTATCGTCGTGCCACAATGGTAAATCAATCACTTCTTGGGAGGCAACCCAAGATTTTTATTTTGCTTTCATAATTTACTAAATTTTCCCTTTCGTTTTTATATTTTTGATTTTTTAGGAGTTCCTTAATATGTTTTATCTTGTAGGAGTAATTTTTGTTGTAATTATTCCAAAAAAAAGACTCCAGGCATGGGAAAATAGAGTGGATGCGTCACATTCCCCTCAGTGCCAGAATTTAAGGGCGAAAGTGTTTGAGACAGTGAAGTCTACCTAAAGCGCCAACCAGCGCATCCGTCTAAAGTGAGGAAAACCAATTGGGACGCGTCGCGTCCCCATCAGTGTGAATAGGTAAGTGTTTTAAATACTTGAAATGCCCCAATTTCCCCATTCTTTCCTTTCCCTCTCAACTTAAACACCACCCTCACCGCAACTCCCCCATCGCACCACCACTGCCTCAACTCCAATGCAACCAGGAACATAGGTGTCATAATGACGGCAACGAGCAAAACTTCCAAGAAACAAGAAAGAGATAATGACAAGCAACCGCACAAAAAGCCTCCTGGTGAGGCAACAGGTGCTTGATCGGCTCCAACACTACACCACTATATAATGGTGAGGAGTGGTCGATGCAGCTTTTACCTGAAGGGTCGGGATCGATTTTCATAGGGAGTTAATATTGGTTTGGAGTTGGATTTCTATCTAATCTAGCTATATGTGTTTCTCTTAATTGTACTTCTAAACATGTTTGGATTTGTTACTCTTCTACTTTCAATACTATTGATTGTTGAAAATAAACTAAGTACAATATTTTTGTAAAGTTTTCTCAAGTGATAAAAAAGCACTAGGGAAGTGACTTATACCTAGGCGAGTATCTAATGGGATCTAAAATTTAGGACAAGCTTGTTATATTTGGGGTCGTGATATAACCTTTACACATAATTACTCACTCTATACCTCTCGGTATTTTGAGTGACTTTGCCCTAATTGGCTTTCTTAAGCCCAATTGGTTGTTCAAACAATACAAGCAAAATTAGCTCAAGTCGGGTATTACTATCTCTAGGTTTAACCCTTTAATTGGGGCTATCAATCTCTTGAGTGCACCCTAATTCCTTATTAGCCTAATTTTCTAGACTTAGTCCCTCTTTCTCAAGAAGAGTCTAAGTCATAAAGGCATGAATCAATGTTTGCAACCACCAATACTACAATTAAAGCATGAATCAAGCTAAATATCACTAATCCATAAATAATTAAACCCTAAAATAGAAGACCCATTATATACCCACACTAGGGTTGGGTCACAACCCTATCTAATGGATTTAGCTACTCATAATAAAGGTAGAAATCAAAGATGAAGATGAAATATAAGCCATAAAAGTTGATTGCAACATTAAAATCTAAGAATATAAGCTAAAGTTACTCTAAAATTACTCAAAGTAGTAAAATATGGCTGTTCACGAGCTCCTCGGTACAAAAGATAACTAAAAATCTAAAAAAGTTCTATTTATATACAACTGAAATTACTGGACAAAATTACCCCTACGGAGATTCCGCTGTCAGCACAATACTGAGCGCCACAGCGCTTGAACTTTCACAGCTGCACAAAAGCAAGCGCGGACCGCGTTTCTTCCATTTTAAACTGGGGTTGGGCTTGATTTTGCTAGGCCCGTAAAACAGACCGTCTCAATGTTGTCTTCGATCACGGCCGCGTAAAATGTCTGCAGATCGCGCTTTTTATTTAAGCTCAAATTTTCAAGCCTCTAAATCTTTAATTTGACCTCAACAGATTTAACACCGTGGCCGCATCAAGTATTCTGCTGCCGCACTATTTCACTGGGGTCAGTGGTATCTGTTGTGCCCAAAATTGCCTTATCTGAATCTCAATTTCGTTGTTAGCGTATTTATGGCCGCCTCAGCGATACACCTTCCATTGTCGCTCTTTTCCTTCGCTGTCAGCGCTTTTGTCTCAGCTTTGAACTTATGCAGGTTTAAATCCTTTATGAGTTGGTTATGACTTTCTTGCTTCATTTTGACCAAACCCTTCAAACAAGCACACTAAGTCAGTTTTCGGGAATACTTTTACACATTTTTATCCAAAACCTAAGCAAAAGAGAGCATAAGATAGGCTAGAATTCATAGTTATCAACTCCCCCAAACTTAAGCTTTTGCTTGTACTCAAGCAAATAAAGTAATTCTCACCTCCACAAGGTAAAAGAAAGAAGAATTTCAGCTGTTCTAAGGTGACTTCAGCAAGCATCAATTGGGACTAACAATTACCCTTAATACCAATGTATTATCAATAACATACAAACTTTTTATCACCATGGCTCTAGTGCGACACAAGAGCTTTAAGAGTTGACTTAACTCATCAAGGAAGCTCGTTATACTACGTAGGTCTCCGTGGAACCCAAACTCTTTCTCCTCTGCTCTCCATAAGCAAATCTCACTTTAGATTATAGCACTCAGAACAAAGATTGTGGAAAAATACACTCATCTCTCTCAAGGGAATGTCACAAGTTTGGCTCTAAGTACCATAAGCTTGACCCTCATATGAATCACCACTAATGTAAGCTCACTCAATTCGAAATTATATAGGGATTTTGCAGGAATGTAATGAAGGATTTTGGTTTAAGGTAGGATATATCGGCCTATGTAGATTTCATCATTCCTTAAGCACTTCATTTTTTCATTTCGGCTCACACTTTCTTGACTCTTTGAGACATTTTCTTCTTCCTTAGGGGACTAGATAGACACACTGTCACTCTTTCTTGTTCATGATAATCATTTTTCTCCTTTATAATCAATCCAAGCCTTTCATCATTGCTTTTATTGAATCCCTTTTTTTTCTACATTGTTCACTTTCTTTTTGACTTTTTGTCTTTTCTTTCTTTTTCTTTTTATTTTGCCTTCCCTTTTCTTCATTTTGTACCTTTTATCACTTTTGCATTCCTCTTCCCTCCCCCCCCAAACTTATGATTTTGCCAATTGTGCTAAGGAAAGATCGGGTGCCAAGAGAGGGTCATTTTAGAACGGATAAAGGCATGTATCATGATTATTGAAAGAACAAGGGCTATGGCTCAACGGGGTTGACTAAGGATATCATATTTGGTGGGATATGAATGCTTTCAAGTTTTCAATTTGGATCAAGAAGAGCCTATAATCATTTCTCAAGTCGAGCTACACTTAGAATTTTGCCTAGACAAACATTCAGGGCAAGTTGTAGACTTATTGACACGGAACTTGGACTTGTACATCAATACCTCACATCACAAGCTATTGGATTTCTAAAGAGAACAGAGTCGAGGGCCCATAACAACCTTAGCTAAGATTGAGCAAAATAAATGGCTCCTAAAAACCACTCGATGTTTGTTTAATCAACACAAGAGTCTAAAGGTCAAAACTGCCACCATTCATTTCAAATCAACTTGTCTCTAACCATAAGGTCAAAGGTAAATGTGTTAGGCCCAAGTGAAGCTTTGCCTGAGACACTTTTATTTATTACTACTATTTACCCAAAAACATAAAGAAAACGAGCTCAAATCCTTAAGAAGGTTGTCATGCCATCCATCATCGGGAAGAGCCACCCGGTTCATACAAATTCCATCTTTGGAAAGAACCGTGGCATTAAGAAAATCAAAGGCTTATTGATCACGAAAATTTGAAAAAGTAAGAAGCTACAGATTGAAAAAGAAACTACTAAATGAAAACAAGAAGCTATGCTATTAAGGAAAATTGCAAAAGAAGTTATAAAGTAAAATACGGAAAGTAAACTGAATATGTACAATAGGGGATTGAGACAAATATACATAAAAGGGGAATGAATATATACATATGGAAAGGTAACTTTATATACATACCTAAATTGAAAAATAACGAAAAGTGAAAAATAAATGGTAAAGTTATATACATACCAAAAGTGAAAAATAACAATAATGAAAAATAAGTATCATAATTACATTCCAGTATCAATCAAAATAGGAACCCCCTCCCCCCAAATAAGAACTAGCATTGTCCTCAATGCTAAAAGCATAAATAAGATCAAAGAGGGGTTAGAGAGTAAAGAAAACTTCCTATGATTCCTCTGTCTACATGGGGTCATTGGCTGGGTCATGTGGCTGGGTCCCTGGGTCACCTCCCTCAAGGTCCTCCAACTCAATCTCTATGTCATCAGGCTAGGGAATCACCCCTCTCCTCATAGGCTCTCTATCAGCCTCCTGCTCCGGTGCCTGTGCTGCCTGAGCTGTTGGAACTAGGTCCTCCAATAGTATCTCCAATGGGATGTTGCCAGCTTATCTAATCTTGTCCACTTCCTTCCTCAGCAGCTTTACCGACTCCTTGGAAGCCCGAGTTTTCTTCATTTTCTTTGTTTGCTTGCTCAAGTCCATGATTGCCTTTCCCTGTGCCTCCAAAGTGGCCATAATCATCTTCTGGTTGTCCAGGAGCTTATTCTAGTTGTCCAGAATCTCCTTTAGTGATTCCTCAATGGAAGCTGGCACCTGAGGTTGTACTAGAGCTGACTGAGTTGCCACTGTGCTAGAAATGACAAACAGCTTTGATGTCGCTGCGTGCATCCAGTTGTTGATGCTGGACAAAATCTGGTTAACCCTTAGTGCAGTGAGAGAGTAAGTTGATGAAAAAGGTACTGAAGTAGGCATGGAAGTAGATGGTCCATAAGGAGGCTGTGGTATGGAAGTAGGAGGCTCGGAATTAGTGGCCACCACTCCTAGCTCTTCAGACTGGCTAGTGGAAGTGGAGGCTTTGCCCTTGAACTTAGGGTTGTCGGAACCCTGAAGGCTGTACCAGGAGAATGGTCTCATTGGTTTCACCTTCGTATCAAAGTCCCTTCCCTTGACTTCCTGATCCTCCAAGTAAATGGTGAGGAAGTTCGGGAAAGGGTATGAACTCTCATTCTTGTTGACCACTCTGGTGATCACCCTGGACATAATGTTCCCGAAATTGATCAGGTACCCCACCATGATGGAAACCATTATAATAGTT